GCTCCCAGTGAGTACTTCTTCTGGTGTCTGTGCATACCATTGGATATTTTTGCTGTGGAAAGTGGAAAAATGCTAAGATTCAACTGTTAGGCAAACTGACAGTGTTTTTTTCCTTCTTGGCTGATGGGGATCTCTGCCAGATGAAAAAAAAAAGGAAAAAAATCTCCAGCTTTCTCAAAGGGTTAACACATGATATGAGGTAGGAAGTTTCTCTGCTGSTAGGAGTGGTTCTTCCAGTGTTACTGGAAGCATTGTAAGGCAGGAAGGAAGAGCATGGTACTTAATTAAAATTGTTTTGTATCTTCACAGGATAATTAATGCAGTTGTGGTCTTAGAACTAACTCTCTTTTGTTTTGTTAAATTTTACAGAAAGGAAAAACAAATGAAGTTGATACTTTTAGAAAATACTCATTTAATAGTCAAGGTGTGAAAAGGATGTGTGTTTTAGTATATTATTCACACACAGGGAATAATAGCTAGCTCTAAGTGYTTTGGAGGAGGAGTCTCAGGTGAAGGGAGAGTCTGCAGATGATACGGAGAAGGCTCGACTGGAAGCTGTCATTTTGTAAGGAAAGGAAAACCAGAAATGTTTCCCATGTTTGTCTTCTATTATTGAGATCACCAGCCCAAACTTCCATTTTTGGTCCCTGCTGTAGACTTGTTCCTTAAAGATTTATCTAAGTGGAAGAGAGRGCATTAGAACAAGAAAGATCCAGAAAATGAATGTGAATCTTGAGCTTAATTGATGCTAAACTGATGAGTGGCTTTCTTGTTGCTTGGCTAAACCTGCCCTTTTGGAAACAATCCTCTGCGCAAGAGCACACAATGCTGGCAGGAGCCCTGTATGGTTTTAAGCTGCTGCTACAAGCTGTTACCTAGATTAGCTGGCAAAAGAATGTTTGAACCTGCAGATGTCTTTGGCAGAGCTCAGTCTCTAACCATGGTTTCCTGGCTGTGAAATTTACTCAGTTATTCTACTAATAATTTGAGGGATGGGGAATCACAAGGTTTCCAGGCACCAGATGTCTGTCTACATTTGCTGTGGGATTTTTAGGTTGGATTTATGTCTATTCTACAACATTTTTATTTCATGGAAGTGAATGCAGTTCATTTTCAGGAGATACTAAGATGTCATTAATACCCATTCTTTTTCTTTTTAGCTTTTGTTATATAAACTCCTTTGAGAACTAGGGTTTTTTGTTGTGTTGCCTCTGAAAATTATTTTTTAGTTGGCTGTGGATCATACCYAAGCTCTTATGATTGCCACACAATACATTTTGTCTACAGATGAAAATCAAAATRCCTTACCAGGTGATTAATAACCTAACTTGTGGGTTATGCCTAGTAACAAGGATAACTGCTACCATATAGGAAGCTGGCATTAAAAGTTTCAGATAACCAGTCATAAAATATAATGTTTGAGAGCATCACTCACTTTCAGAAGTAATRTTTTGACAAGAAGAGCTTCTCCTCCCCTGTTTAGCTCAGTGTAARCTAATAAGGTTTTTTTGGATGCGAAGCTAAACTTCCAAATTCTATTTTTGCTTTTTGCTTATAAGGATGAATGTCTATTTTGGTAGACAGTTTAGATTAAGGCACAAAATATCYATTTGGATCACAGCAATCTACTTAATGTATTACCACTTCAAGTAATGTCACCTTCAGCAGTATCCTTGTTTTTCCAGTTCTTGTGTTGTTATTTTGCATAGAGCAAGCTCCAGCTGCCCTTTACTGTAGCATGTTTTRAACCCTTGTAAACATTATGTGTTAAAAGAAATTTACTTCCGTTAAAGTAATTATCAGAAACCACAGCACAGAAAGTCCAACCAAATCTAGTCTCATTAAATTTATCAAGGTCTCATCGTTGTGACTTAATTTTTATTCATAGATTAGAAGGAGGAAAACAAACATCTTGGTGTTTTCGCAAGTTCAAATGAAGTGATTCTGATGCAGGAATGTGTCTAAATCTCTTAGGTGGAAAGAAAACATCAGCAATTAAGGCAGAAGTATCACAAATGAAAAAATTGACTTTTTGGAGACAAATATTTATTTTGTCCTTTAAAAATTGCCAAATATTTGCTTTTTTTTTCTGTGTCATAGGTTTAAATAATCTGTTTAGTTCTGTGAGCAGTTAAGTTGTTCCATTTTTAAAAGGTGTAAGGATTTTATTGTTTAGTGCTATTTTAGTCTGTTGTAATAACTAACAGCATATTTAATGTTTATCAGAAACCTTAAAGAAAAACGTACTGAATTCTGAAAACTTGTTTTGGTTTTCATTTTTTAGTTTAAACSCATTTTCTGTAGTTCAAATCCATATTGTGCCTAAAGTGATTTATTTTTAAGACCACAGTAATGTATTATCTCAACAATATGGATGGAAGGGTTGTTGATAAGAAAATGYAAATATAGTATAGCTAGTTTCAGAGCTAGATAGTTTTAATAAAAAGTTTCTTACTCATTTTCTGTTTTAAAACTAGTCACCTCACAGTCACAGTCAAAGTCCTTTGGGCTTTTGAGTTTGTAAAGCTCCTTTAATATATAGATTAGCAGCTTCTTTATTTCTTTCATTGCATTTATTAGTTTGTAAACCTGAAGGCTGTGAATTTTATGAAAGAAAATCCTTTAATTTTGTGTATGCCTATTGAAATGTGGTGGCTGCCATGRTACATATTTTGAGGGAAGCATTTTAAACACGGACTTGAATGRATATGATAATTCTTAGCATTGTTTTTCTGATACAATTAGAAGTCTGAAAAATTCCAAGTGTTTACTGAACTTAGTTGACTGGATGTTCTAAGGTTCTAAAGTGTAAAGKTCTGTCATAAAGGTCTAAACTTCACTACATGGTCTTAAAATTTCTGCAGGGCCACACTTCAGATGCACAAACTGATTTGTGTGACGGAGTTCTGTTGAGAGTTCACAGCTCCCTCTGAATTACAAACCATTGTCTGAGAACAGCTGTTCTCATTTCCTACTCTGCATTTTAGTGCCTTCTTCCCAATGTACAATGTTTTGTACAATGCTGTATTGTGAAAAGAAGTTCTATAAACTTCTATCAAATAGCTGAGTGGATCAAGAATTACTAGAAACTTTGCATGACTTTCTTAGGACATTTCCACCTCCTTTCCTAACAGTTCCTGCTGTAGAGTTCCAGTTTATTCAATGAGCAGGATAATTGATAGTAGACTTCAAGATGTAGGTTGTCTAAAATGTCCCTTGAAGATAAAGATAGATTTTGAACTCAATTAAAGACCATATAAAAAGTTTATGAAGAATAAAAGATCTTTTATAGGMATTCATCAGCCTGGATTTACAACAGATGCTGCAGAATCAGTTGCCAGATAAGGTTTTCAAGTCCAAAGCCTCTGTGCTCAGGTGTGATGCTGAGTGAGAGAATCTTAGGGTTGTTGTTTGTGAATTAAACTTCATGGGTACATTTATTAGTAAATCCTTTTTCTTTGTGAAATTTGAGCTCGGGGCTACTCCTAGCTAGCAGCAAGTGCCAGCTTTGTTGTTTTTCCACTGAGGAAATGCTGCTTTAGTATGGAACCCTTGTCAGCCCAGTGATGTCATGTGTCTTGCCTGAGAATATCTTATGAGGTCTCTCATTGATTGACTCTATTTRTCTGTCACTTGGTTTTACTTGGAGRTTTTACAATGTAATGATGTGGCTAAATGGCAGGACATGTGGGACTGTGCACTGTCTGAATCTAAGTGTTACTTGGAAACCAGCTAGAAAATTTGTCAGGCTGTGTTTTGCTATTAATATTAAAGAAGCAAAATTAAATGATGATACAATTTAGACATGAATTAGAAATACCGTCATTTTAAATGAAAACAAGTTTTTCTTAGGCAGGTTTGATTATCTTTCAATGAAGAAAATGTTATCTAGACCCTCCTTTTGTCTGACCCCTAAAWCTCTTCATTGCTTGCCAGCTTTCTGAAACTGAAATTCTGCATGTAATTTGKTCTTCACTAATGGACCCATATAGGGTTTTTTATTGAATCAATATTTTTAGTATTTTCCAAACATTCAGGGAAGACTTTGAACATAAAAAAAAATGCAGTTCCACCTTTTTTTCTTGTTTTGTTTCCAACTATTTTGACTTCTTCGTATTGTGCTTAGATGTTCTGAATGAGTATACTAGATTTGACAAGATGTGTAAAACACAGAATTTTTTACTGGATTATGCTTGGGAAAAAAGCATTATTCTGGGTGGAAAGAAGTTCAAGTAAATACTGGAGTCAGGAATTCTAAATTTTTGCCTGTTATCTCATAGCTTTCTGTGCTACTATTTTTTTTTWAAGTAGGATAGTTTGAAAGTCTTAGAGAGTAAAACTTTCTCTGTTAGCCACAAATTCTCTTTTTTTTTTTCTTCATTAAGAATCTTTGTTCTGCATCTTAAATGCAGCCTCGTGCCATTGCTATCAAAGACATGGAATAAATGTAACTAATTTCTTCTCCCTCTACTGGCCTTTGAGCTGTGCAGAGCAGATCTATCCTGTACCTTCAGTGTACTCACACTTGCAACTGGTTTGTTGAAATTGGGTCTTYTGGGGACTAAGGAGAACACTATATCCCCAGTATCCAGATCTGAGCAGTGAGTAATGGCATTTCTGAAGTAACCTCGCAATAACAATGGAAACTTTTAGAAAGAAAACAACAGAGATATTTTGTTACAACTTTTGAGTACATTCATTCGAAGCCGATGTGCAAACTATTAGTAAGATATATGAGAGCTGTACATTTGACACTGTGTACAGTGGTAGACACTGTACAGAACTGGTTTCATTTTCTCACTTGGGCTTCCTGAAAATCCTCTTTGTAGTACAGTGCAGAAAGGCAGAACTGAAATGACCAAATTGTTCAAAAATAATTMAAATAATCCAAGTTTGTTTGAAACGAAGGTGCAAATTCTATACCTGGCAGCATTGTCTTGACAGCTATCTCTTAAGAACTATTATGTATTTTTTTGTTGTTGTCTTGTTTTTTTTTTAAGCTGGACCTGTGATCTGCAGAATGCTAACATACCCTCCAACTCGAAGAGCCTTAATTGTGGGTTGTGGTCTGCAGATGTTTCAACAACTGTCAGGGATTAACACCGTCATGTATGTATTTTCCAATTGCTTCTTTTTATAAAGTATTAAAAAAACTATTAGRCCATTAGCAGTTACAGATGGTCTTCTGGATAAAATCTGAAAAATTGAGTGTAAGAGCTGGAGTGCTGGTTTAAAATCCGGATGTTGACATATTTGGCATTGCAGTGAATTGGTACAAGAGGATGTTAGTATAAGGGTAAACATTTATATAGACATGAGAATACAAACTGTACTCTGAGATGCATTACTGTGTTAGGGTTTATGGTCAAAGCTACATATGTCTGGACAAGAAAGCACTTCTAAGGTTTGAATTGGTGTGCAAATATATCACAATAAGGTGAGGGTTAGACWAACCGTGTTAATGAGGTGGAACATTGCTGYGAAGTGCTAAAGGAGGTAAGGTACYRAGGGAAGAAACATTTCCTGCTTTTACATGCTTTTCTTATGTGTATGAAGACTCAGTAAATGTGGAAGTGAAGAATGATATATTGGGTTTTTTGACAAGCTGTCAGCTCACAACAGGAGTAGCTCTTGACTAATGTGCAGTGCACAAGACCTTGTTTAAGATGAAATTATTGTTGGAGCTGCCCTATAGGACTAATCATAATGAATGTGGTTGCCATATTGTTTTAAGAGCAAGTGTAAAATATGTTGCCACAACATTTTACAGAGAAAACTATGCCTAAGGGAACAAACTTCTTGGGAAATTGTTAAAAGGAASAGCTAAGAGGATAAGGCTTTTAGTGGTATCAAGAGCTACCATATTAAATGTTAGAGTAAACACTGCCGTGTGTCATACTGAAAGAAAAAATCCCTCAGACTCAGTATTATTGAACTGCAAAGGAGGGAAATCTGTARCAGGTAAATAAAGACTTCATAGAGTAGAAATTGTAACCCAGTGTGGGAAACACTTGGACAGAAGACTGGTAAGTTATGTGTGAAAGCCAGAAGATAGACACAGAAAGAGCTTTGATAAATTCATCAGACAATTGGAAACAAGAGACCTAATATCTCCAGGCCCAGTACTGGGAGTACACTAGCAGGAGGTAAGTGTTTAGCACCTAATCTCACAAAGACTCTTTTTGCTTTTGTGTTAATTATAGAGTGTGTATGAACTTTTTTTCACTAGAGTTTACTTAAGATATCTCAGGTGATCTGCTTGACACTCAAGTATTAGGGGAAGAACTTCTAGAGCAAGCTGATTAAAATGAAAAAATAACAAATTAATGAGGGTGCACTCAACGGGTCTGGAGTAATTTGCATACATAGTCACTGAATTGAGAMATGCAGCACACTTGACTTGAAGCTACAGCCCAGAAATTTTTATTTCTGTCTTTATAAAATATAATTAAAATTTCATAGAATCAAACAAGTTGTGTGTTTATAAATATGAAAAATGAACACGTGCATGTAGAATATAAAGTAACAAAAAAGAGCCAGCATGATCGCTGTAGACAGATTATAGCTTGCTTGGATGTGAGTTCATGGTTGTGTTAGAACTGTAAATCCCACATGAACTAACCATCCTAAGTAACCATGACACCTGCAGCCAAAGTTTCTTGAGGAAATCATGTAGTCCCTAAAGTAAGTGAGAAGTCCTGTCAGGTAAATAACTATTTAAGATACAAAAAAAAAGAGAATGAGAGTACGAGATCAGTTATCACAAACCAAGAATAGGCTCCTACAAGGATCTATATGAAGATCTTTGCTACTTTAATAAATCTGTGGCGGGAGCTAAATAACCAAATAACAGCTTGTATTCATACAGCATTCACAATGTAAAGATCCCCCAAATCTGTGAACATGGACAGTTGTGGGAAGATAATATAAGATAGCAAATTAGYGGAATGGCAAGTGAATTAACTCTACAATGTTATTCAATAATGCCTTCAGGAGAGGACTAACATGCATGGCAGTCTAAATTGTTACTACTCAAAAAAGAGGGCTTGCAGTTCCATTATCRTTCTGTACAAACATCATGATGACAWCCATGGCCMATCTGGAGTAGTACAAATAGTTGCAGATGGCCTTTCTTTTAATAAGAGCAAACCAGGTTATGTGTGGGGAAAGAGATACCTGTGTTTGAGCAGGATGATAAGAACTCTGCAGCTCGGAAAAGAAATTAGGTCAGAAGAAATRTAAGAGGTATATAAAGCTACTAATGTTATGGAGAGGATGGGGAGAGCATGATTATTCATCATTTCTACTAACACGTTTTTGATGACTCCTAGCTCTTACCCAGCAGTAGGTTTAAAATAAGCGTTTTTCCATGCAACACATAATTATGTATTGGAACTCATTGCCACAGGATGTTACAAATGCCAAATGCAGAAATAAGTTTAGAAGTTAATCAGGGAAACTTACATAATAAACATTATTAAAATGTTATGAAATGTGGTTGCGTGCAGTCTCTGGCCAAGGACAGTCATTCTCAGAGTTTGGTTCTGACTACTTTAGGATGCCTTATTAGACTAGAATAAAARTTGACAGTTCACAAGGTTTATGACACTGGTAGGTTGACTTTGTTTATTTTAAACTTTCTRTATTTTAAAATCAAACTCCTTTCTATGTAGGAGGTTTTACAAATAGTTTGGAATTGACCTAATTTGCTTGTGGATGTGTAGGAGGACAGAATTACAACTATAAAACATGGTTGAATCTTAGCTTTAAAATAATAAAATGCCTRTAATAGACACATGAAGGCACTGTTGTTAAAGGACTGGATTATAAACCATTTGCAATATCCAGTCTTTTAAAATAATCTAATATAACTGAATTTTTAGTTTTCAGGTATGCAAGACAAACATTCTGCCATGAAAGGACATTTTTCAATGACAAGTAAGCAGCTGTCTCTTGATGGTTTGCTTACACAGAAATTGGTGATTGCCTTTTAATGCTGTGGATGGCACCTTAAGGAACTGCCAGACTGTATTAATTCTCTAAGCACTAGATTCCTCTTCATAATAYTTAGTTGTGTCATTCTGGGATTGCTGTTCTCTTGCAGCAGGAAAGCAGGGATTGGTCATGGTTGGAGGGTCTAGTGTTGTGTGGACTGTCCTGTAGTTTCTCAAAAACAGTCATGGAAAGTGTTTTGACAGTGAATGTTCCCTGTGCCTTTAGCGCTGCTGTAAATAATGGTTTTATTGGCCCTTTTTAGGCCATAGATGAAGAGGCTGATGACCTCAACTTTCAGTTGCCTGGCTTTCTGTGGCAGAGAATTTAGCCTCGGTTTGCCCTCTGACCAGTTAACTTAACATGACAGCATCCATGAATGGCCCTGACTTGTTCTAATCTTCTGGCTTGAGATTTTCTGCTCTTTCTGTCATAAAATAATTCTTTTAATCTTGTATTTTACTGTATGAAAGTCAGGCCCTCAGACTGAAATTGTGAGTGTCTGAAAAACTCATTTAAACCCCCATAATCAAATCACAAAGGGATACGAAAATATAAAGAAGAGCACAATTGTTGAATGATTTAATACTTCCCCAATTTGTATCTGCTTTACTGAGTAACTCTTCAATTTTAGAAAAATTTGAAACAAAAATTACGGGTGTTAAAGGAATTTTGCAGGGGTCTAAAAACAGTCACTGAGTGTACCCAGTAGAAGAAGAGATGCTAAAAAGTGATAATTACTTACAAGAAACACATGGAGACAGCAATAAAAATCTAGAGTTTCCACGCTTAATAATTTAGTAACCTAGTATAAATTTTCTGGTTAAAACTGTTTATCAGTAGTGAAGCCAATGAGAGCAATGAAGTCCATGGGTAGTTGGGGAGAGGAAAACCAGAAGAATTGCTGTAAGAATTTTTGAGGGCTGTGCTGAGCCCTTCTCACTGTGCAATAAACTGATCTGGTTTTGCACAGAAATAGTTTCCTATCGTATTTCAATCAGCCGTGTGTGTGTATAACATCCAGCCGAGAGGAACCAGAAACTCATCACGAACAGGATGTTACTGAATTGGTGAGAACAGTATGTGGAGCAACCTCTGCATTGAGGAGGTGGAACTAAAAGAGAAGCAAAATGTAAAAATAGGCTAAGGAGATTGTGACTGTCACAGGAACAAATTCTAGCGTGATAAATTTAGTCAGCAAAAGAATAAAGCTCAGTGCCCTATTGCTTTGATTCCTTTTTTTCCCCTTGTTTTTGTGAGAACAAGGGTATCACTGCTGTTTGATGGAGTGCCTGACGCAGAACAAATGTTTCCTTTTTGTCAYGGCTTTTGCCAGCTTAACTGACCCGTTAAAGATAAAGTCATACAATTTTAGACAAGCATCTCTCACACTGGTGTGAGCAGCTCTGAAATGGTTTAACTTCTCAGTTTCTTATCATTCTAGTATTTTCTTGTCTTGAAAACAGAAGCTCACTGTTTCAGGCATGCAGCACAAATCTCAGGACACTGAGAAAGGCCTTTTGAAGGAAGTTATATTCGAGGGGAGCAGTTAGTACAAATCAGCTTTTTAATAGTAATATATCCCAGAATTTGGTTAGAACAGTGGTGTRAAGATATTTTCAAGCCCAAAGTGGCCCATAGTTAAAACTTGGAAGAAGAKAAACAGTTTAAGGTAAAACTTGAAATTAATTTTTTTCTATCAGTTTCTTATTTTAAGAAGAGAAACTTGTTTAAAAAGGGAAGAAATTTCATTTGGGGGGTGGAGGGTAAAAGGAAGAGGGAACTTGAATGATTTGAACTGTTTCACGTTGTGTAGTGAAAACCATCAATAGACATTTTATCTCCATGCTCCTGCAGGACTAGGACTTMTGAAAACATTTCTGGTAATGTGCAGTCTCATGGCATTAATAAAATCTTCACACCACGGGGAAAAGAAAATCCCAAGTTATCTTGAATACTGGGCAGTAATTTAGCCATAATTGGAGGGAGTTCAGTATTGTCTTGTCAGAATTGCACATAGGTGGTATGACCTGTGCTGGAGTTTCTGCTGCTCTTTGAGAGGTTTGTTGTCTGTTCCCAAAGGCTGCCTGTGCTGTCAAGACTATAAATCTGAGATA